AAATCCATGACTTTGAACACACCATTTTAGAACCTTTAAAATCATTGGGGAAAATTGTTAGAATTCTAGTTTTCTTGCAGAGTCTCTCTTCTGGAGCATTTTCCTCTTGATATCTCTGTGGTTCTCTCTCTCTCTCTCTCTCTCTCTCTCTCTCTCTGTGTGTGTGTGTGTGTGTGTGTGCACGTGCGCTTCTGATTAACTTGGAAATGGACTTCATACAAAGTGTCAGAGCGCTAAACTCTGCTCCATCCCAGTACAAAAACTGGGGAAAATACACCTTGCTGTCAAGTGGTGAACGCCTCAAGAAAAGGCACTGATCAACATGGGACTACTTTTACATCATCTGGATGTAACAATGGTGAATGTACCTCCCAAGCAGGGTTCCAGTAAAGAGTGGGCAGCTCATATCCAAAATTTCCTTGAAAGAAAATCCATCTGTGTCATTGCAAACTGTTCTGATGATGCTAGGTCTGGATTCAGCGATTACATTCTCTGAACTGTGAAAGAAGGAGCAACTGATGTCCTTCTTCCCTTACTCACCACCAGCACCTATTTCTTCTTTGTACCAACTAATGGAAATATATAAGTCACCCTTCAAAGGGTATAAAGAATCAAACCAGTTTCTCTCTCTTCCTTGTTAATTATCACTGTACATAAATCCATAAGGACATGCACACATATATCAAGGACTCCCATTGTCTGGTATGTATTTTCCACAGATATGATCTATTCATATATCCTTTGATTCTAAGGAGGGATCCTTTGAAATCTGATCTTATCATGCAAGCAAACACTCAACCAACATAAGTCTCCTCTTCATGTGCTTAGAAGCCATCATGATGCTCTCAGCACCCGGACAGCTGAGAAGATCATAACAAGCGAGCATTCTGTTATGCCTTGGACAGGTTCCTTCTCAGCCAATTGCAGAATGAGGAACTTTTTTTCCCTTGGTCTAGGCATAAATCCCATGGGAAACATCCTTTGATAGGCTGAGCACACAGCGCCGACTGATCTTACAAGATGTAAGTGAATATTTTGGGACATCTAAACTCCAGCATCTGCTTGCTTACGTCAGTGCATAAAGCTACTGTGGCACACGAAACAGTTGATGAGCTTGCTCTGTTATTCATATGTAAGTAGAATATTGTAAATATATCCCTATTTCCACAGGAAGAGATGTTCAAATTAATTATATCTTCTCTACAAGTGAGGAAGATGAAAAGGAAAGCCTTTGTACTACAATAACTATATAAAGTGATATCCAGTGGGTGTTTATGGTTTTTACTTCAAAGGTTACCTTTCAAGATAAATGCAGAAGAATGTTTAAAATGAAAGTTTTGTTTCCTTACTCTAAGCCCGATTAAAATATACCCCACTTCCATTTTACTTGATCATCGCTGATAGTTCATGAAGCGTGTGAGTGGCATTAAGAGAGATTCAAAGAAAACCAGAAGCCGTGACATTTCATATTAACAAACGTTTTGATAGATTATTGTCCACGTTCATGCCAGTACATTTTTCTAGCCCAGGAGATAAAACTCTTTTTAAAAAAGGTATGGAGGGTCCACCTCCTCAAAATGAGAATTTTAAGAGGGTCTTTCAAACTCCCTCAACCAAAAAGAAAAATCTTGGGATGTCTGAAGAAAAGAAGAAGATGGCAGCCTGCACCATAAGGGAGAAGGAACTAGAGCATACAGGTTAGGTTTTCTAGCAAACTCAACTTTGGCCTTCAACACATGAACATTCCTCTCTGCTGGCACAGCATCCACAACCTGCTTCATTTTACCAAATGGTACGGCTGGTTGGAAATACCTTGCTCAAAATCCTGGAGCCAGTTACTGGCATCAGAGAATAGCCTCCATAAAGATGAGGTTGCCTAACGCCTGTCTCTGTTTGATGGCATCCACAAACCATGATCGTCTTCCTCTTTGACTTTTATATGTTTATGGAAAATTAACGCTCATGGTATTGGTGCCTGGGAATAATTTCATCAAGAAATAATTCACTGTCCCTAATTATATGGTTTTTTTTATTCAGCATTTTTTTTAAAAAAATCACTGTTTAATTGTTGAGCACCAATGACGTTAACGTTATTCTTCACAATTCTATCTTTCATTCTGGGACGTTCACAGTAATCTTAAGTGATGCTTAAAAACAGTTTCCTGGGACCCTGAAGATTGGGATGTTACAATCCACACCACCAGAAACGGAATCTGAAACCTACATCTTGGACTTTAACCTGCAGCCCCCATTTTGAAACTGATTTTTAACAAAGGAACCTGGCCATGTATTTTGGAACTGTTAGGCTTTTTCTGCATCATCCATAGCTCTGTCCTGCATATCCTGATGAAGATCAGTAGGGCTGAAAGCTAAGGTTGATGGTGGAGAGTAAAACTGTGGTCCCGTTCCTCCATTGATCCACATTTATTCCTGCTAAACGTCCATAGAACTATAGAACAACTGAGTTGGGAGGGGCCTATAAGGGCATTGAGTCTCAACCCCTACTCAATGTAGAAATACAAATCAAAGGATATCAGGCAGATAGTTGTCCAATTTCCTCTTGAATGCTTCCAGTGTTGGAGCGCTCACCACCTCCTGAGGTCATCGGTTCCATTGCTGTACTGCTCTAACTGTTAGGAAGTTTTTCTTGATACTCAGCTGAAATCTGGCTTCCTATAACTTGAGCCCATGGTTGCATGTCCTGCACTCAGAGATAATTGAGAACAGATCCTGCTCCCCCTGCTCATCCTCCTCCTCCATAGCTCTAGTCAGTTTGGTTGTTGTAGGTTACCTTTCAAGATAAATTGTCTGGCATGTATGGTGATCAGGGTGTTTTTTTTTTTTTGTTATGTGTAGGTTACCTTTCAAGATAAATTGTCTGGTATGTATGGTGATCAGGGTGGTTTTTTTTGTTTGTTATGTGTGTATTATTGTGATAAGGGGAGATGATCTGTCACTGTGATCGATGGGTGTCGTTAGCTAGTCTATTGTGTGCAGTGATCATGGGTCCTTGTGGCTGGGTAGAATTTGTTGACCTTTTTGCAGGCTGTATTTTCCAGTGCTGGGAGCCAGGCATAATCACCCAATCTCCTGAAAAGGACAAAAAGCTGATCCTACAGGTACAAATACTCAACTATCCCACGCACTACACCCAAACACAGACAGAGTTCTAACTCCTGTCCTCTGAAGATGCCGGCCATACAGACTGGTGAAACATTAGGAAGAAAAACCTCCAGAACATGGCTAAACAGCCCAAAAAACCTACAACAACCATCCTATCCTAGCTGTGAAAGCCTTCAAGAATGCATTGTAGTCAGTTTCCACACCATAGCATGCCCCCTCCGTTCCTCTCCCGTCCTCCATCACCTCTCCCCATTCTTTTCTGTCTATTCTCTGCCCTGCCTCCAGCCATGGTCCCTTCCCTCTATGTTGTTTGATTTAATAGTGGAATTTTCCATATTGTGAGGACCTTGCACTGCCCACCTGCTCAACCCACCTGTCCGGTGTGGAAAGATACTTCTGCTTTTGGAACTTCTTCTCCAGCCCCATAAGCTGGAGTTCTGTAAAGATGGTCCGGCTGCGCCGAGGCTTTTTCAAACGTGGGATGGGCTGTTCGGTCTCCGATTCACTGCTCCCATGAGTTTCCCTGGCCGGTGTCTCCGAGCAAGTGCTTCCCGAGGGAGGATGTGGTGAGAGAACTTGAGAAGTGCTTGCTGCGGGAATGAAGTGGGAGACTGCTGAGGGCTGCCTGGTGATCACAGAGATGAGCGGGTAGGCCCTCAAAGAAGGGGAGCCTGGGAAAAACAAGGGATGGACAAAGAAAGGGATCAACACATTGCTGATCGGGGTTGCTGGGTATTTCATGTTAAGGGTTGAAAACTTTGGGTTGATGCAAAAAGCAAAGTGTGCTGCTTATATATCACCCCATAGTGCTTAAAAACACTCTCTGGGAGGTTTGCAATGCAGGCGACACATTGCCCTCCCTGCAGCAAGCTAGGTTCTCAGTGTGCCAACTTTAGAAGGATAGAAAGTTGAGTGAACCTTGAGCCAGCTACTTCCAACTGAACCCAGGCCATGAGCACAGTTTTAGCTGCTAGTTGAGTGAACCTTGAGCCAGCTACTTCCGATTGAACCCAGGTCACGAGCAAAGTTTTAGCTGCAGTACTGCAGTTTAACCACTACACCACGAGGCTCCTTTTGCTTTGCTTTTGATGTAAAACATTTAAGAGTGCAGTCAGACAACTGCAAAGGCACACACCAAATCACACCGGAGAGAGTTGTTCTAATGGTTACAATTGCCTTTCAAGTGATTCCTCTTTCTTCTGTGGAATCGCCCCAGTCCAGCACCCAAAAACAGAACCCCTACAGCTTGACCAGAAAGGTCCTGCACTGGGAGAAGGATGGGACACATTTCCCTGTGTGATCACCAGGGAAAAGATTGCACAAGACTGCTCCATAAGTAGTCCAGAACATGATCTATTTCCTGGTGTGATCACAGTCTAAGATAGAAGATGGCATACTGAAGTAATGACTGATTCTTGCAGAAGTTATTTTCTGGGGAGTACACCAACTCAAATCAACCCTATCTGGAAGATTCTGGGAGTCACAGTAACTTTTCCAAACAATTACTTTTCCAAGACTGTCTGAAATTCTGGGACAGCTGCTGCCAGCCCGTGCTGACAGTACGGAGCTAAACAAACCAAAGATTTTGTTTGGAGAAAGGCAATTCCCAGCTCAATAATTTTTAATCAGTTTGGCAGCAGCTATCGTTGGTCTTGGATTTTTTTCCTACTGTACTTAAAAAAAAAAACTTTCCACAAGATACTAAGGACTGAACCAAGAATTTCTATTTTACCCCTGGAACATGTATGATTTTTTTCATTCTTTCCTTTATTTAACATGTTTTTGTTCTCTTCCATTTAAACAACTGGGCAAACGTATTTTTATATGTGAATATGTAAACAGACATACATGCTTTATTGGTTTATAGCTGATCAGGCTGTATGCAAGAGAAATTAAACCAATTCTAAAAATAGTATCTGAAATCTAATGTAAACAAGAATAAAAAAAATAAGACAATAATGGGCATAAAATAACCAATCAAGCATTCTCTGAAATCTAATGTAAACAAGAATAAAAAAATAAGACAATAATGGTCATAAAATAACCAATCAAGCATTCTCAAAGAAAATTTAACAAGGTGTGAAATTAACTTGAAAAACCTGTGAAGCAGGTAATAAGTTCTGTCTTTCCATGGCTCGCTTAATGAATTTAGCAGTCCTATAGGATGTATAATACTCCGTGCTAACTAGCAGAAATAAAGCTATACATAAAGGGGAAGCGTTCTTGATCCCAGTTGTTAAGAGTTCAAGGTATCGGCCTCTCAGATCTGCATACAGTGGACATTCTGTAAGAGAAGGTACCATGTCCTCTGTTTTAGAGGATCCTGCTAGTCAACGTATGCCTGTACCATGCTGGTCTACGTCAGTGGTTCTTAACCTTGGGTTACTTAGGTGTTTTTGGACTGCAACTCCCAGAAGCCTTCACCACCAGCTGTGCTGGCTGGGGCTTCTGGGAGTTGCAGTTCAAAAACATCTGAGTAACCCAAGGTTAAGAACCACTGGTGTCTACGTAACATCCTTGTCCCTTATTAGCACACATGAGCTGAGACATCTGCTAACTTGATGCAGATTCAACTCAATAACGTCCTTGTCCCTTATTAGCACACATGAGCTGAGACATCTGCTAACTTGATGCAGATTGAACTCAATACCATTGAGATTCAGGGACATTACTATCCATCCATCCATCCATCCATCCATCCATCCATCCATCCATCCATCCATCCATCCATCCATCCATCCATCCATCCATCCGTCCGTCCGTCTAGCTATCTATCTAGCTATCTAGCTATCTATCTGCAAAATCCCATTGCATAGCTTTGCGCTGGCATAATTTGGATCAAGGCACTGAAAACAATGAACTGAAAATAATGTAAAGCTTTTCTCCCTGTTTCAGCTTCCGAGGCTCCCAAAGGCGCTCTCTTGCCCCAAATAAGTCTTTGGGAGCCTTGCGGGCAGGAGACTTTAGAAGTCAGACATTGCTGCTGATTTGCCATCCCCAGGATGGGGATAACCGGCATAGCAGGTCAGCTATGTTTTGTTTTTTCACTTTTAAAGTCTCTCTTGCCTTCCCCATTCTTAGGCTCTCAAAAGGTTCCCCATGGCAAGAGGGAGCCCTTAGAACCTGAAGGAGGTTAGCTTTAAGTTTAGTTTAAATTAATTATCTGATCCAATTGATGACAGCACAAAGGTACATAACAGGATTTTTGCCCTTCATATCATGTCTGAATGTTTCCATTTTTTAAATATATTGCCATGGCATATGTTTCATGCCATACTTCATCGTAAAAATAACCTACAGCAAAAAATCAATGTTCATCGCAATGGATCATTTCACTGCAGCTGCCCCTCAAAATCACAAGCAAACAACACATAATGTAATAGGAAATAACGGTTAATCTTTAGATACTGAGCTTGAATTTTCTTTGCTGCCATTCTTAGATGGGCTTGCTCTTAAAATTACACAGTTGTGTGAACCTTTGACCTTAAATATGACTTTTCAATTGCATTTGATGAGTTGAGGCCTAAAACAAACGGAAAAAAATAAATAAGACAAAAATGTTGTGTCAACTTAAAGACTAACTGCTATATTTTAATGTGAGCTTTCATGGATCAAGTTTATTATATATTTTTTGATGTTTCTTTTGTTTTTTTGGCCAGATATGGCAGCACAGATTAGCACACCATCTCTTCTAAAAACTACATACTTGAATTGCAAAATTCAGAATAATGTGAAAACCAAAGATTAACGGCCTGTTAAAACCACATTTTATTCGACATTATTCAATTATGTCAATATAATGTAAGAATGGCCATAAATATTTGTCATCATTTTAACTTCTTTTAAAGATGCCAGACCGTATCTGTGCAGGCCAAAACCTTTTCCTTCAGATACCTTTTTTTAGGTTTCTACAAAGTCATTGCTACCCCAAACTTTTTCTTTTACCCTCCTGTTTTTCAAACAAGGCACCGAAGAAACAAAAAAACCATTAAAAAGCAGTAAATTAGTGAAGCTCAGGAACCACCAAGAAGTTTTAGGTGAGTGGAACTTGCAGAGGGAAACAATTTTTTTACAAGAGACCAGCTTCTAAGGAGCTTCGTGAAGGATATTATATATCAATATATAATATTTATTTTCTTACTTGGGTGGTGCTCAAACAGGGTGTAGCATGAATAATTGTAATATTAGAAAGCCAGGACAATTTGGGCAAAAGGGAGTAATGGAGCAATCATCCTAATCCATTGGGAAAAACAGAAAAGTTATGGGACCGGCAAATGGAAAAGGTATGCAAGAGAGAGAGAATGCACAGATAAAAGTGACGATCTTGTTTGTTAGAATAATCACTCTCTTCCCTAGAATACTTAAGACAGAAGAGTTTTTTACGCAACTACTGCTGCCAGATCCTATTTCTGTTTGCTAGCAAAAAGCTCCTTCAACAAGCATCATAGGATTGCAGCCGTGATGTTTTCAAGTTGTCAATAGAGCAGAGTAGCATTAACTGTTTGCTACTGCCGCATACCTAGGAGTGGAAGAAAGAGGAGAAGCAGTTTCTTCCATGTCCTTAGAACGAGGTTGCACACTTTCATAATAGAGCCAAACTGGACTAGAGCCGAAATGTCTCAGAATACATTTCTAGAATTCTCTCCCTCTCACTTTCTCACACACACAACCATCAGAAGAAGAAAAAAACTTTGAAGGCTTTGCTTCAAATACACTCTGTGTGTGTACGTGTGTGTGCATGCATGTGCGTAAGAAAGAGAAAGAGAGGGAATAATAGGTTTTTCATAATTCTCCCCGACACACACAACACAGTGTTCTTGAATGATTTTGTTGTTGTTGTTTAGTCATTTAGTCATGTCCGACTCTTTGTGACCACATGGACCAGAGCACGCCAGGCCCTCCTATCTTCCACTGCCTCCCAGAGTTGGGTCAAAGTCATGTTGGTAGCTTCGAAGACACTGTCCAATGAATGATTTTAGGTCTAGGCAATGATGGACTATACAAAATGGTGGCTAAGTTGTCCACACTGTTGCCTCTCTCTTGCCTGTATCTCCAAAGCAAGGGGGAATGAGACTGTGCTACTTTCACTGCACATGATTGAGTACCACCCAAGAAAAGCTTCTCCTTGTCTTATAGAAATAAGTAAAGTGGCCCCTCGGTTTATTTTGCCTATAAATCCAAGGGGGGATTTTGAAGAGCTCTGTTCTTTGTGCCCAGCTTTAAGCCAAGGCTGCCTGTCTTCCCAGCTTTTGTGCAACGGGAGTGAATCAGGAGAAACAACTGGTGTTGACACGTTTCCTCGTGCTACTTCCAAAATTGGCAGGAGAATTTGACACTGTTTGCTAGGCATCCAGCCATCCAAGGGCATGCCTGCCAACATCTGGAAACCCAACATATGGGTCTTCGGCTCCACCTGCTGACCTTGAAATCCTCACTACATCCATAAATGCCAATACACTAGGCATCCGTTCTTCTTATATTCCTAAATCTATGTCAACATCAGAAAGATATTTCTCATTGCTAAACAGTTTACAAGCATTTTGCACTGCTCTCTCTTGCTTTGTTTGCCTGTGAAGAAAAATAAATGAATGCTTATTAAGAAGCTTTGCCAAATCAAAGAATGTCAGGTAGCTCAGAGCTAAATTTATCTGAGGTTTTCTTGCAAAACTTT